CTCCTCTCCCCAGCTCAATCACAGCTCAGGGTCATCCAGTTCACTGCCCCCCATTTTCCAGGTGATGCTATAAGCCGCTAGGAGGGAACACGGGGGGCCTCTCAGTAGCAGGGGGGGGCTACCCCCTTCCTTCAGATTCAGCCAGGTGGGGTGGCAAGGTGTGTGGCCCCCACTTCCTGAATCTCACCCTGGATGTTGCTGGGCAGCGGGCCTTGATGGGGGAAATGCCACCGATCCTACAGGCCTTAATTCCTGCTGAATCTTCACCTTTGGGTCCTAGAGCCAAAGTCCAGGCACTGGGCTCAGAAAACCCTGATTTTGTCTGCAAGAGGCTGAGTCAGAAGGCGCCTGGGTGTCAGCCCCAGACATCTGTCTAGTGCTCAGCCAGAAATCAGACGCCTAGCTCGGGCCTGACCCCTCTACAACCTCAGGGAGCTGGCTGGGTTAGCCCTCCCTCAACCTTCGTCTCTTGGCCGGGAGCCCACATTCCATCTGCCCTGATCCTCAGGCTGAGGCCTCACCTTACAGCCCAGCCTCCAACCACAGATCCCCAGGGGCCAAGCCCTTTGTTCTGTGGACGTTAGGCAGACCAGGCTAACTCAAGTGTGTCTGTGGGGCAGAAGCTCTGGAAAGGCAGCCTGCAAATCCGGGCTCTGCTCCTCCACTCACCCACCTGCTCTCCCGAGGCTCCTACGTCTCAGACTGAGATGGGAAACAAGGCATCAGGCCTTGAGGAAGGCCTGGGACTGGGCTCTCATCAGAGGGGGCAACTGAGGCCCAGGGGGCAGTAGCTGCCCCAGATCCCACAGCTAGTGAGGCCCAGGGACTCCAATCCAGGTCAGCTGGCTTCCAACCCAGCTCCCCTCTCACAGCCAGGTGCTGCCCAGACGGTGCAAAGGAACAAGACAGAGGCCCAGCTGGCTACTGCCACCTCCCGCTTGGGGCCAGGTGCCCAGAGAACCCGTTCCCCCGGATGAGGAGCCTGATTCCCTGAGGCTGTGGAGCAGGCCAGCCCGAGCAATAATGGGGCCTTCCGCACTGGAGCTGGCCTTCTGCAGGGCAAAGTCTCTGCTCCTTGGTTCCCGGGGAGCCCCCAGAGTGGGCAGGCTGCTTAGCGCCTCACAGGCCCCCATCCCAGGTATGGTCTTGGGCTCTGAGGAGCTCCCAGGCTGGCTGGGGGACTAGCTGCTGGCTCTGCTAATCATTGCGCTGGTGATCAGCAGCCTGAGAGGAATCCCTCTTTCCCGGCTTGGAGAAAGCCTGCTCTGGCCTGGGTATCTAGGACCCCCAGATCCTCCTCTAGAACTAAGCCCGGATTTCTGATTCCCAGCCCTGAGCCCCACCAGCTTGCCTCCTTACACTGCTTTCTAAACTTCCCCATCTCAATGTCGGAATCCTCTCCCAAGGCTCGGGCCTGAGAACTGTGGCCAAGCACTTGAAGGGCTGTCCTGAGGAAGAAAGGTCATCTCCTTCTGTGTGGCCCCAGTGGAGAAGGGCAGATGGACGCTGGAAGCTGGGGAGAGTCCCGAACATTGGAACAGTACCCAAGAGGCACAGGCTGCTTCAAAGGGAGTGAGCCCCCTGTCCCTAGAAGTCTCCTAGCTGAGGCTGCTGGGGAGGGGCTCTGGGGCAGCTTCACTGGCCTCCCCCCTAACTCTGGGGCTCTGTGCTTATGCTTCTCTGGCATCCTAGACCCTGGGCTCTGAAAATGGCCCCACGCCCCACAACCTTTCCCCTTCTTCTGGACTATATGTTGCATTTGGAATTGGTGGACATGGGTTCATGTCTGATCCCTGTTAGCTTCCACCTGCATGATCTTGGGTAAGTCCCTTCTTTTCTCTAAATTTCAGTTTCCCATCTGTAAAGTGAGGGGCCGGCTCAGAAGACTTCAGCTCTGAGAACCTGTCCCCCACCCCGTCTCTGAGTGGGCATCCAGGTAGCTGGCACCCAGGGTGCTAACATACCATCCTCTACCCCACCCCCTGAATCCATAGGGCCCAAGTTCCCTAGTCCAGCTGGCATCACTGAGCCCAAAGATTGTCATAGATGCCCCTTTCTGCCCCTATAATCCAGCTGTTATCCTGGGGTTAAGGCATTACCCTCCTGCCCATTGATAATAGAAGGGCCAGCAAGAGGCCTGGAGGCTTCTGGGGCTGGGCAGCCTCAGTTTACTGCCAGCCTTCCCTCTGACTGGAAAGTGCCCCTCCTAGACACTGACCCCAAAGATTAGGGCAGGGAGGGTGGCATATACAAATCCATCCCAGCCGCTGGAGAAATCATTCATAGCTGCTATCCCAGTGGGCACAGCAGTATGACAAATTCCTATCACACTCTGACCCCATGATCCTCTTCCCTGGGTACTTTCTCACAGTTCATCTTCCCCACAGAGTAGCTGGGCTTCTTTCCCAAGTAGAGAGCAGCCAGAGAAAATCACTACAGTCAAAAGATGGAGGCTCTTGTTACTTGGAACAGCCAGGAGGCCAGGGTCCCTGAGTCCAAGGGTAAATGTCAGGAAGTGTAAGAGGCTGAAGGGCACTGGGCAGCAGAAGTTCTGAAAGGTTTTGAACACCTGATCCTGGAGGTGATGAGGAGTCCCTGGAGTTTACTAAGTGGGGCAGAGAGGTGACAGGGTTGGACATGACGTCTGCTGGACGTCCAGCTGGAGATGTCTGGAAGGCAGTCGGAGCTGTGAGATTGGAAGTCAGCAGAGAGGTTTGGGCAGGAAAGGTAGATCTGAGAATCAGCAGCAGAGAAAGGAATTTAATCCATGGGAGCTGATGAGATCCCCAAGGGAAGCAGGATAAAGGGAGAGGAGAAAAGGACCCAGGACAGAGCCCTGGGGGCCACCTGTGGTTAGAGGTCATGGTGTGGAGGAGGACCCAGCCAAGCAGAGAAGGAGAGGTCAGAGAGGGAGGAGGAGAGTCAGGAAACCTGGTGAGGAGAGGATCCAGGACTTCTCAAGGTGTTTAGCCACAAGAAAGAGTCTTAGTTCTTCCCAGGTTTTTGTTATCTGCAAATCTGATGAACATGCAATCTATGCCTTTACCCAAGTCATTGACAGAAATGTTAATTAGCTCTGGACCACACACAAAACCCTGGGGCCCTCCACTAGAGACCTGCCAGGCTGACCTCTAGCCATGAGCTACTACTGCCCTCCGACCAGACTAGTCCTTGACCCAGTTGATTGTATTCCTATCTAGCCAGTACCTTTCCATCTCATCCACAAGGACAACCCAAGAGACTTTATCTGCAGGGCTCAGGCCCATACTGGCCCTCCTTGCCTCCCTCCCTTTCCCCCTCCCCATACTCCCTCTGTGTTTTTCTCTCTCTATTTCTCTCCTCTGTATGGGTGTGGTTTCTCCCTCCATGTCTCTCTCTCTCTCTCTCTCTGTCTCTCTCTGTCTCCTCTCTCTCTGTCTCTCTGTTTCTCTCTCCTCTCTGTCTGTCTGTCTCCTCTCTCTCTCTCTGTCTCTCTCTCTCTGTCTCTCCATCTCCTCTCTGTCTCTCTCTGTCTCCTCTCTGTCTCTGTCTCTGTCTCTCTCCTTTCTGTCTCTCTGTCTCCTCTCTGTCTCTGTCTCTCTGTGTCTCTCTTTCTCTCCTCTCTGTCTCTGTCTCCTCTCTCTCTGTCTCCTCTGTCTCCTCTCTGTCTCTCTGTCTCCTCTGTCTCTCTCTGTCTCTGTCTCCTCTCTCTCTCTGTCTCTCTCTCTCTGTCTCTCTGTCTCCTCTCCATCTCCTCTCTGTCTCTCTCTGTCTCTCTCCTTTCTGTCTCTCTGTCTCCTCTCTGTCTGTCTCTCTGTCTCTTTCTCTCCTCTCTGTCTCTGTCTCCTCTCTCTCTGTCTCTCTGTCTCCTCTGTCTCCTCTCTGTCTCTCTGTCTCCTCTCTGTCTCTGTCTCCTCTCTCTCTCTCTGTCTCTGTCTCTGTCTCTCTGTCTCCTCTCTGTCTCTCTCTGTCTCTGTCCTCTCTCTCTCTCTGTCTCCTCTCCGTCTCCTCTCTGTCTCTCTCTGTCTCCTCTCTGTCTCTGTCTCTCTCCTTTCTGTCTCTCTGTCTCCTCTCTGTCTGTCTCTCTGTGTCTCTCTTTCTCTCCTCTCTGTCTCTGTCTCCTCTCTCTCTGTCTCTCTGTCTCCTCTGTCTCCTCTCTGTCTCTCGGTCTCTCTGTCTGTCTCTGTCTCCTCTCTGTCTCTCTCTGTCTCTGTCTCCTCTCTCTCTCTCTCTCTCTCTCTCTCTCTCTCTCTCTCTCTCTCTCTCTCTCTCTCTCTCCCCCTCTCCCTCTCCCTCTCTCTCTCTCTCCCCCTCTCCCTCTCCCCTTGTTCCCCAGTACTCGTGCAACTCAAGTGTGGCCTCAGAAGCAGCTGCTCCAGTGCCAGAGAGGAACCTAGGACAGAAGGCTGGAGGAATGGGCCCTGGCAGTCCCCCTCAGCTGGTATTACCACATTGATGAGCTTGGGAATCCTCCTTAAAAGCATGGCAGAGCCCAGGTCCCTGGTCCACATGCCATGCCATGCTATGGGGGAAAGAGAACGAATCACCACTGTCATATTAGGATATGAAGTGACCTTCCCTGCAGGGTGTTCAGTCCACAGCACCGTCTAGGATCCCCTGCTAACTCCACCCCTCCCCCAGAGGAATCAAAAGTGGAGGGAGGCCATCAGCATGGGCAAACAGTAAGAAGGCTGGCCTTAGCAGACAATGGTCTGGGCCCTGGTGAAGGAGCCCAGCACTCCAGCAGGGGTGCAGGGTCAGGACTGGGCTAGGGAGGAAGCACATTGCCTCTCCACCCCACCAGTCAGGGTCCTGGCTGCTCCAGCCTTTGGATAAGCCTATCTTAGGATTTCTGGAGCTCTCTTTAAAGTAAAACTCCAGGGCAGCTAGGTGGCACAGTGGATAGAGCACTGGCCCAGGAGGACCTGAGTTCAAATCCAGTCTCAGACTAGACATTTGACACTTACTAGCTGTGTGACCCTGGGCAAGTCACTTAACCACAATTACCTTGCCAAAAAAAAAAAAAAGTAAAACTCCAGAGCAAGCTTATGAAGCCTCCCAAGCCCCAGGTACACCTGGAGCTTCCCTACCTGGCTGGTGCGTTGGGGAGACTGGATTGAGAGTCACCATGGCCTGAGACCAGAAATCTCTCCAAAGCAGAGATGGCCAGCCCAGGGCCCCAGGGGGCAGGAGGGGTGGGTGAACGAATGGCCTGCCGGGGAGCCGCCCTCTTGCTGAATGCACCCAGATATTACCATCTAGGCTTTCCATGTTTGGCCATAACCAGAGAGGGGGCATTTCCTCTGGGTGCTCACGTCAAAGAAATATGACTTCTTACTGTGATGGGGTCACACTGGAAGCCTTTCAGAATGAGGCCTTCCCATAGCAAAATGGTAAAAGCATTCCCAAGTTTCCCTTGGCCTCCCGGTAAATACATGGTGAATCTGAGAGCAAATGAGGGAAGAGGCAGGCAAATCACTCTGACGCTGGGCCAGGAAAAGGCACGGTGGAACCCTCCCGTGGTGGGATTTCTACTTTCCAGGCTGAAGGGAGAAGGAGACAGTTCCCAGACAGAGCCCCAGGAAGATCCCCCAGGGCTCCAGATCAGGGCTTTATTCCCAAAGCCAGCCTTGAGGGAGACCAGGCCAAGAGCCGAAACCTCAGGCGTCTCAGAGGACTGGACTCCACCTCCTTCCCTGGGTTTGAGTCTGGGGTCCCCTCTGCCAAAAGAAGAACCTCAGGACAGTGAGAGCTATTCGGCTCTCCCCTTGTACCCAGTGGCCATATGGTGCTAAAGCAAAGTTTGTTTTACTAGGGGGTTGTTTCTAAAAACACCAAATACCATAAGATTGAAGCATCAGTCCAGCCCTTACCTGTGAGTACAGCAGGTCTTCAAAACCAGATCATCGGCTTGGGCAGGTCAGTTGCAAAAGCAGCCCGTGATATAGTTTCAGACCTTCGCACTAGGAAAATCCCTTTGGGAAAAAAGGTCCAGAATATCAAGGGAATTAATGAAAAAAAAAAGTGAAGGAATACGGCCTAGCCCGTACTAGATCTCAAACTATTTTATAAAGCAGCAAATCCTCAGAACTATTCGGTACTGGCAAAGAAATAAGAATGGCAGATCAGTGAAACAGGTTGGGTGGGCAAGACAGCAGTCAGTGCCCATAGTAATCTACTGCTTGATAAACCCAAAGACCCCAGCTCTGGGATAAGAAATCACTATTTAACAAAAACTGCTGGGAAAACTGGAAAAGAGCATGGCAGAAACTGGGCATAGACCAGCATCTCACACCCTATACCATGATAAGGTCAAAATGTATACGTGACTTAGATACAAAGGGTGATACCCTAAGCAAATGAGAAGAGCAAGGAATAGTTTACCTGTCAGATCTATGGAGAAGACATCAATTTATGACCGAACAACAGCTAGAGAACATTATGAAATGCATTAAATTAAAAAGGGTTTGGGGCAGCTAGGTAGTACAGTGGCTAGAGCTCCAGCCTTGGAGTCAGAAGGACCTGAGTTCAAATCTGTTCTCAGACACTTGCCACTTACTAGCTGTGTGACCCTCGGCAAGTCACTTAACCCCAACTGCCTCACTAAAAATAAATAAATAAAATTTTTAAATTAAAAAGTTTTACAGAAACAAAGCTATACAAAAAGATTAGAAGGAAAGCAGAAAGATGAGAAATAATTTTTACAGCCAGTATCTCTGATAAAGGCCTCATTTCTAAAATATATAGAGAACTGAGTCAAATCTATAAGACTACAAGTCATTCCCCAGTTGATAAATGGTCAAAGGATATGAATAGGCAGTTTTCAGATGAAGAAATCAAAGGTATCTATAATCACATGAAAAAATGCTCTAAATCACTTTTGACTGGAGAAATGCAAATCAAAAGAACTCTGAGGTACCACATCACACCTATCAGATTGGCCAACATGACAAAACAGGAAAATGATGAATGTGGGAGAAGATGTGGGAAAATTGGAACACTAATGCATTGTTGGTGGAGTTGTGAACTGATCCAACCATTTTGGAGAGCAATTTGGAACTAAGCCCAAAGGGCAACCAAACTGTGCACTCTTTGACCCAGCAATATCATAGCTAAGTCTGTATCCAAAAGACATCATAAAAAAGGGAAAAGGATCCATACGTACAAAAATATTGATAGCAGCTCTTTTTGTGGTGGCAAAGAACTGGAAATTGAGGGGACGTCCATCAATTAGGGAATAGCTGAACAAATTGTGGTATATGAATGTAATGGAATACCTACTGTGCTATAAGAAATGATGAGCAGATGGACTTCAAAAGAACCTGGAAGACTTGTATGAACTGATGCTGAAGGAAATGAGTAGAACCAGGAGAATGTTGTACATACTTAACAGCAACACTGCGATGACCAACTTTGACAGACTTTGCTCTTCGCAGCAATGCAGTGATCTAAGACAATTCCAAAAAACTCCTGATGGAAAATTATATCCACATCCAGAGAAAGAACTATGGAGTCTGAATGCAGAGCGAAGCAGACTATTTGCTCTTCTTTTGTTTTTTCTTTCTCGTGGTTTTTCCTCTTTGTTCTGATTCTTCTTTCACAACATGATTAATGTGGAAATATGCTTAGTGTGATTCTATGAGTATAACCTATATCAGATTGCTTGCCATCTTGTGGGGGAAGGGAGAGAGGGAAGGAGGGAGAAAAAAATTGGAACTCTAAATCTTATAAAAGTAAATGTTGAAAACTATCTTTACATGTAATTGGAAAAAAATAAAGTTCTATTAAGTGGGGGGGAAATCTCTTTGGTGGCTCAACGGAGGATGGACCAGAGAGGGGAGAGGCCTGAGGCAGGCAGACCCCCAGCAACTACTGCCATAGTCCAGGTGTGAGGGGATGAGGGTCTGCATGGGGTGGGGTGAGGGAACTGCCATGCTAGAGGGGACAAGAGGGTGTATTGGAGAGACATTATGAAGGTAGAAAGGCTAGGATTTGGTGAAGAATCAAACCTGACTTCAAGAGCATGAGGCTGAGGGATTAAGTAGGGAAACTTTGAGAGGGAGGGAGGTTTAGGGGAGGAGGATTCCAAGCTCTTGGTGGACACGGATTGCTGAGCCTGGTGTACTGGGACATCCAGATCAGGACAGAGAGGGGCGGCTGGTGCTCAGGAGAGATGCCAGGGCCAGCTGGCCAGGTTGAGGTGGGAGCCATCTGCCTCAAGGTGAGGACTGAACCCAGGGGAGCTGGTGACACCCCACTCAGTCACACCACAGAAGCTCCCTGTCCTGACCCTGGCTTCTTTTTAGCTGAATAAGCAGAGAGCTTCTCCCTGCACATTCTGATTTTATTGTCACATCTAAAAGGCTTGGGAGGCTGGGTAGTGCAGTGGGAAGGGCACCAGAAAGAAAGGCTGGGGTTCAGATCCCAGCTGCCACCTTAGACAAGTCCCTTTACCTACCTGGGCCTCAGTTTCCTTCTCTGTGAAATGGGTGTAGTACTGGCCCTCAGGCCCCTAAGGGCTTTTGTGAGGATCCAACAAAGGGCTTCATATGAATGGAAGCTGTTGTTATTAGCAGGTACATTAGACTCTTGGGTGTCTGGGGCCAGGCACCCTGGGGCAGGGGCAGTGAGGGCAGGAGTTCAGGCCCTCCCTGCTCCACTGACAGTGTCTCAATCTAATAATCCAGGCAGCAATTCTGGCCTCTGGGGCAGTAATTCTGATGATATAAGAATGCTGACAGCTAACATCTAGAGATTCATAAATAATTTCTACCTTGTTTCTAAAGCTCTTTTTCCATCTATTATGTCGCTGGACCCTCCCAATAGTCCTGTAAGAAGAGAAGACCCCAAGATGCCCCCAAACATCGCTCTGGTCACTGCAGAATGAACAAAGTGTCTCCCCCCCACCCCACTCCTCCCCAGGCCACACTCTGGACTGGCCAGATCTGATGGCGCAGATATCTCTTCGCCCTGGAAGGAGCCCTGCACCCATGGAAGGCACCTGGGCCCCTTGGGCCTGTATCACACTGGGCAGTTGCTTGCGGGCCCTCCATTTTAAGGAGGAGGCTTGGTATTTTCATCTCTTCTGTCCCCTCTCCCACCAGCCCTGCTTTTCTGTGTTGTCTTCTCCCCATTACAATGTAATCCTTTCCACATAGAGGTTTCGATATATCATAGGTCGACATAAGAAATTAAGTGGGAATTTTGGGAAGAGTATTACAGAAGCCGCAGACATGATGAGAAGGCCAGCAGACCAGAAAAAGTTTAGAAACTCAGAAATGCATAAAATATATGTATACTATTGTATAATATCAATATATTTTATCTTTTAATGCCATAATAATTCAGACTTCTTCTCTGGTATGGAATGAGGGCTAAAAAATTTTCTGAGAATTTTCCAGATTGCAGGGGTAGGTGCCACCCCTAACCCCCTTGAGGTGGAAGGGTTAACTGTAAACTCTGAGGGCAAGACTCTTTTGGCTTGTATTTGCATTCCCAGAGATTAGCACAGTAACTAGCGAACAGTATGTGTATCATAAATGCTCACCGATTTATAGCCTTGGCTCCCCTCCCCTTTCCCCTCTCTTTCTCTCCCTCTTTCCCCTCCTGTTTCCCCTTCTCCCCTCCCTTCCTTAGAAGCTGGCTGGAAGTTATGGGGTACGGGACCAAGCTGAGACCTTTGCCCCTTACCCCAAAAAGAACTTGGGGAGGCAGCTAGGTGGCGCAGTGGATAGAGCACTGGCCTTGGAGTTAGGAGGACCTGAGTTCAAATCCAGCCTCAGACACTTGACACTTAGTAGCTGTGTGACCCTGGGCAAGTCACTTAATCCCATTGCCTAACCAAAAAAGAAAAAAAGGGAAAAAAGGAAGAAGTTGGGTCCCATTTGTCTACAGGCCCTAGAAAACCCTTGGACTGTCCTTGAATTCTCTTACTTGATCCAGGAAGCCTAGGAAGGTATAATCCCATCAACTGGCCTTTCTTATACCCAATCTCCCAATTCTCTGTTCTTAGCCCTTCTTTGTCTTACCTCCCTATGGCCACTTCTCACCCTTAATCCTATCTAGGCCACTGGTCCAGGTCCTTGGCATTCTATTACCTCACAGGCCCCTCAGACTACTTGGCCACTGCTAGATCCCTCCCACAGTCTTTGTGTACTCAGATTCCTTAAGAATCTAGTGAACAGCTCATAAATGTTCAGATTGCTTAAGAGTCTGGCCAGTATGGCGGATCCTTAATAAACCTTGTCTCTGGCTGGGAAAAGGCTTGGGTTGAATTCTTTTGGACAGGACCCGTGCTCTTGATGTTCTGAAGTCCCATCATCTCTAAACCTCTAGACCTCAACATAAGGGCTTGATATCTTCAAAGAGATGAAGTGGGGGTGGTAGACGGGGAATTGCTGTACCTAACTTTGGAGCCAAAGGACTTGGGTTTAAGTCTCTAACCAGAGGTGTCCCTCGGGCTCTGTTCTGGGTCCTCTGGAGATCTCCAGCTCCATGGATTTAATGACCATCTCCATGTTCTCAAATCTGCCCATCCTGCCCTAGTCGCTCTGTTGAACCCCAATCTCTCATCTCCAACTGCCTGTGAGATATCTCAAACTGGACATCCATAGACACTCGGTATGTCCAAAACAGACCTCCTCATCTTTCCACTAAACTCTTCCCCCATCCTAGCTTTTCTCTTACTGTAGAGAACAGTCCCCTGGGCTCCCAACCTATGAGTCATCCTGGACTCCTCAAGTTCTCTCACCCCCAATATCTAATCTCTTTCCAAGTGTGGTCCATTCCACTTTCACAGCATCTCTTGAATATGCCCCCCTCTCCTCTCTGACCCTGACTCCACCCTAGTGTAGACCCTCATCACCTCACACCTGGACTATGGCAGTAGCCGCTGGTGGGTCTGTCTGCCTCAGTTTCTCCCCACTCCAGGCCATCCTCCATTCAGCCACCAAAGTGATTTTCCTAAAACACGGGTCTCATCATGTCACCCCCCACATGTCCCACTCAATAAATTCCAGTGGCTACTGCTGGCCTCCAAGAGCAAAAACAAAATGCTCTAGTTGATATTCAAAGCCCTTCTTAATCTACCCCCCTCCCACCTTTCCAAGCTTCTTATGCCTCCTTCTCATACTCTCTTCAATCTGGTGACCCTAGCCTCCTGGCTGTCCTACAAACAAAACACTCCATCTCTTTGGACACTCTAGTCAAGATATCATTGGTCCTCTTTGGAAAAGGAAGGATGACAATTCTGGTTCAGGCCTCACCTGGTCAATTAAGGCAAAGAGAAAAGGCCTTTACTAGCACACTTAGACATCAAGTGATATAAAACAATGTTCATATCAGGACAAGGCAATCCTGACCAGTACAGGCTTCAAAGAGGAGATGAGATTAACATCAGCTCAACTCCTCCCCTACTACATCATCATTTGGAGATGGGATTAGTTCCTACTGGACCACCCTGTCCTGCAGGCTGGCTGAGCACCCTACCCCAAAGGTCAAGAATGGTTAAAACATGGAGGTCAATTTTAGAATTTATTACTTAAACATACTCAGAACTGTATTTCCCATTTGAAACATTTGGAAGCCAACTGTGTATATACCCTAGTCCTTAGATTTCTAACAGTCTAATCTTCTTGTCTTCTCAAATTACATTCTCAAATAAAAATTCTTCTCATTAAAAATTTAAAATTTTAAAATTCTCACATCTTTATCCTCTGCCCCTTTTTAAAGGATATATATGTATACATATGTACATACATATACATACATTCATTTCATCCTGAAAGAATGAGATACTTTAAGGACCTAATCTTATACATGAGCATATAGCTATTAGCAAGGGAATGGTAAAGCTACTTGGGATACAGAGCTGGCCACAAATTCAGATTAAAATAGTAAGCTCATTTCTACTGGCATCCTATTATAGTAACCCAGCTGTTTTCATATTAATCTATTAACTAATAGATTTAGTATTGCAACAACAAAACTTGCACTGGAGAAAAATCACCAGTTATCTTGACCTGTGTCTCGCCACTGGACTCTGAGGACTCTGGAGGAGGCAGCGAGGCTGACAACCTGCAGCTCGGCCTCACGCATCCAATTCACATGCAAGTCCAGACGTCACCCTGGTGATGTCCTTGGTGCTCTTGGAGAATGAAGACCCAACAACAAATCACCTGAAAAAAAAGAAAGTTCCTCACTTTCTCTGCCCCTCTCTCTTTCCCTCCCTCCACCCCATCTCAGCCTGTCTCTCTGGTCTCTCTCTCTGTCTCTGTCTCTCTCTCCTGTAGAGAGGGGGTTATTTGCTAACTGAGCTAGCACAGGCTTATGTGGGACTTCCAGATCAGAGGGGAAAACAGGCTACTGGCGAGCTGGGCCCTGGGTGGCTGGCCTTGGCCAGAAGGAACGCAGCCCTTCTTATCTCTGAATAGAAAGCAATCCTTGGGGACCGGAAAAGGAAAATGTCTTTGTAAGCAAATCTAATCAAAAAGGCTTTACAGGGAAAAAGAAATGGGAAGGGAGACCACTGCCTGTCTGTGGAGGTTCCTCAAGCTAGATACTAGAGATAGGCCAAAGTTTACAAGAGACAAGAGCCAAGGGGGAGCTGCTATTAGTAAAACCCATGGCCTGAAATGAATACAAATGTACAAAGACGAGGCCTGCAGCTCTGGAAAGGCAAGCCCCTCCCCCACCTCCCCTCCCCCTACCTGTTCAAAAGCACCAGGGCAACCAACTGAGGAATGGCCAACCAAGCTATGGTAGATGATGTGATGGAATTCTACTGGGGTGAAAGATTGAGTGGAGGGGATAGTTTCAGGGAAGCCTGGGAAGACCCATGTGAACTGGTGCAGAGGCAAGTGAGTGGACCAGGAAAACCATGTATGCAGCAGCAGCAATATTGTATCAAAGTTGACTCTGAAAGACTTCCCGGAACTCAGATCAACTGTGGTTCTAGAGGACTGACTCAAAATAAAACATGCTGCCTACCTCCAGATGGAGAACTGGTAGGCTCAGGGTACAGATCAAAGCATACTTTCTCCTTTCTTCCATTCATTCATTCATTCTTTCTTTCTTTCTTCCTTCCTTCTTACCTCCTTCCCTCCCTTCTTCTCTATCTCTTTCTCTTTCTCTCTTTCTTCCTTCCTTTCTTTTAACATGGGTAATGCAGGAATTTGTTTTGCATGACTACATATTTGCAGTGGGCTTCATTTTTCTTGCCTTCTCACTGGGTGGTACAGGAGGATTAAGCAGAGAGAAAATTTGGAACTGAAAATTAAATTAAATTTTAAAAAGTAGGCAGGTGATAGTAGGGTGAGAAGGGGAGAATAGTAGCATATATGTCAAAGCTCATGTCACATGAGGACATCTAAAAGCCAGAGCTGGGAAGCATTTGGATGAAGATCAGTGGAGGGAAGAAAAGGGTAATTTTGTCAGTCAGTCAGTCGAGGAGCACTTACCATGTTCCAGGCATTTTTGTCATCAGAATAAACTACAGACCACCTAGACAGAAAAAGAAAGTGAGATGCCAATTCTGGCCCAGAGACTTGCTGCAAGTAGTGATGGCGACTTCAGGAATCCCAAACGGCCACTGGAGCTCCCTCCCTCTCTCCCTCCTTTTCTCCCTTCCTCCCTCCTTCCATCTCCCCTTCCTCCCTCCCTCCCTTTCTCTCTCCCTTTCTCCCTCCCTCCATCTTTCCCTCCCTCCCTCCTTTTCTCTTCCCCCTTCTCTTCCCCTCCCTCTCTCTCTCCCTCCCTCCCTTTCTCTCTCCCTCCTTTTCTCCCTCCCTCCCTCCTTCCATCTCCCCTTCCTCCCTCCTTCCATCTCCCCTTCCTCCCTCCTTTCATCTCCCCTTCCTCCCTCCCTCCCTCTCTCTTTCCCTTCCTCCCTCCCTCCATCTTTCCCTCCCTCTTTTTCTCTCTCCCTCCCTCTGACCAACTTGCACCTTCCTCTCTACACTTACTCTTCCATCTGGCAAAGCTGGCCTCCCTCTGCCAGCTGCCTTCTCTCTGGCTGAGCATCCCTCAAGGCTGAAAGGCTGGGCCTCCTTCTCTCTGCCTCCTGCCTTCTGGCTGATTCCCTCCCATTCCACCTTCAATATGTATTGTGGGTTCAGAGATTTTTGGAGGCTGTGAGATCGTGAGCTCCTCAAGGCCAGCCAATGTTTTGTTTTGACCTTTCTTTATGCCCCTGGACTCAGCACATAGTAGGTGCTTAATCAATGCTGTATCTTTCTTCAAGCAGTCAGATGGCCAGGATGTAGGAGAGGGAACAACCTGGTTCTGCTTAACAACTCAAGCAGTTGGTTCAAGGGGAGGATGGGCAGCCCAGGCAGGCGTCAGGGAGGGATCCCTCCTTTGCAGGATGTGTTATACTGTTTTGTGTATGTGTGTGTGTGCTGTTATACATGGGATGGGGGGAACTGGGGGCTCTGCCGGCTCTGAGATCCTAAAGTTCTTCCTTCAACTTGCTGTGTAACTGCAGGCAAGTGCCTTGCCCTCTCTAGGCCTGATCCTCCAGCCCGGTTCACTGAAAGGGATACAGAACAGGGAATGAATGACCTCTTGGGACCTTTCCAGCCCTAGCAGTCTGTCCTTGGTCAACAGGCAGACCCAGAGGGCCCAGGGATGCAAGGACAGATAGACATCAGGTTTCTCACCCAAGAGACATTCCTTCTATGAAGGGGAACTGCTTCACCAGACCATGCAGGAAAGTCAGGAACATGTCCCAGATGGGCTTTGAGACATGGGAGACCGGGAAGGGGGGCGCAGCTGAGGCTCTGCAAGCAGCACGTTGCACTTGGCTCAAAGGCCCTCCCTCAGAAGACTGACCTAATGCCCAAGGAGCTTCTCATCCTGACCCTCCCCCAGCCCTGGGGCTATGGTCAGAGGCTTCAAGGCGTATCTAGTGTGGTCCCTCCCCTGCCTCAGAGGCTTCTGGGGGTTGAGGTATGCCTGGAAATGTAGCCCAGTGGCCAGAGGAAAAGAATTAGAGGCCTAAAAAGACTGGCCCAGAAGCACCGCCCCCCCTCACAGAATCCTCCCCCAACACACACACTTTTTCTTGTCTCTGATCCAAAAGCTGCATAGAGAAAAGTGAGGGAGGAGCTGAAACAAGGGGGAGGGGCAGGGAGGCCCCATCCCAGCAGCTGCTGCAACTAGGAGCCTCGAGGGAGGAAGAGCCAGGCCCGCCCCTCCCCCATTCCAAAGCAGTGGCTGAGAAAGCAAGACAGAGAGAAATAGAAACAGAAACAACACACACACACACACACCCAGTACCCTTCTCTGAGAACACCCCTCCCCACACACACACACCAGCATCCTGAGAGCCCAGACACACACACACACACACACACACACACACACACAGAGGTCCTATACCCTTCTCTGGGAGCCCCAAACACACACCTCCCCCAACACAAGATGGACATACACAGGTGAGGGTGAGGGTGGGGAATGCCTTCCAGAAATGGGTGAAAGGTCACCAGGGGCCAGGGCAGCTTTCTCTGCCCCAAGCAATCAGCCCCCTCGGAGGATTCCCCCAGCCACAGCCCTCCCAAAATCTACCCAAGACAAGTGAGATGCCATGGGCTGCTCTGGAGAGAAAGCCCCCTGCCAGACTTTTGTCCTCGTGGTCCTCGAGGCTGACACTGAGAGCCTGCCCATGCTGTCTATTAAAAAAAAAAAAAGGTGGAAGAATCATGCACCCCAGGCAATACAATGGAGAGAGCCGTACATATGGAAAATCAGAGCCCCTGGATTCCAGCCCTGCCTCTTCCACTTACTATGTGACCCTGAACAAGTTACCTGGCCTCTCGCCCACTTTTTCCTCATCTGCAAAAGTAAGGCTTGGCCTGAATGACCTCAAAGGACCCTTTCCCCTGACCCAGAGCTATGCCCCTCAGCCCACCTCTGCCACCTGGACGTTGGCAGGGCCGTGGAATTTCTAGGTGTCAACAACTCCTGTCTCTGTGCCTTGGCTTCCAAAAGATCGGGGCCAGATTTTAACCCGCTCTTTCTTTGGGGACTTAGGTTTAGGTCAGCCCCAAAGCTCTAAGGGCCCAGTTGGCACCCCACGCAGGAGAAAGCAGGGTGTGTAATCCATCTATATGGCTCCATATAGAGAGTTGAGGAGCCCCCAATGGGACAGAGCGGGAGGAAGCAGAGGGGCAAGCTCCTATGTCTCAGTTTCCCTTTTTGTAAAATGAGGCACTTAGGTTCCAAGACCTCTTTCAATTCTAAATCTGTGATCTCCTCTGATCTGGTTCCCTCTACTTTTTTTTTTGAAGTTTTTAGGCAGTTGGGGTTAAGTGACTCTGCCAAGGTCACACAGCTAGTGTCAGGTGTTTGGTCTGAGGTCGGATTTGAACTCAGGTCCTCCTGACTTCAGGGCCGGTGCTCTCTCCCCTGCGCCACCTAGCTGCCCCTGGTGCCCTCTACTTTCAAGGCAGTTATATTGGGGGTGGGTATCAGACACCCATTAATATCCCCAGAAGCCATGCCAAGAATTTTGTATAAACTGACAACTTAGGCCTACATTTCAAAAACTACCTGAGCCTTGTAAAAACTCATCAAAATGAACCTATTTTAAAGAAACCTTTTCCTTCCTCACTCTCTCCCTCCATCTTTGGGCTCCCTCCTGATGACAGCTGCCATGGCTACCTAGTCTCAGCCCATTTCCTCAGTTCATCAGCTCTGCCCGAGGTGGGAGCATGTTTCATCATGAGTCCTCTGGAATCCTGTCTCGTCATCACGTTGATCAGAGTTCTCAACTCAAGTAATTAAAAGGTGTTTGTCTTTAAAATGTTGTTTTCCTTGTACAAATTGTTCTGAATCACATTTATTTCCCACTGCATCAGTTCAGACTAGTCTTTCCAGATTTCTCTGAAACCTTCCCCTTCATCATTTCTTACCATGTAGGACTTCATCCCATTCACAGATCATCACTTGTTCAGCTGCTCTCCAAGAGGTGGGTACTTCCTTAGTTTCCATTTCTCTGCCATAACAAAAAGAACTGCTAGAAATATTTTTGGACACATAGGTCCTTTCCCTCTGCCTTTGATCTCTTTGGGGAAGAGATCTGTAGTGGTGCTGATGGGTCAAAGTGTAGGCACAATAGCTTTTGGGAGGTTCCACATTACTTTCTGTTCTTTCCCAGGTATCACCCCTGCCCTGGCTCCAGTCTTCCTCCCATCCTCATCTTGACTCCTTAATAAACCAGTTCAACCCTTGCCTTTCCTTTTCTCTCTAGTTCCTTGACCCCTACTCCCTATCTAAGGTTTGTCCAGCCTCCCCTTTCCCTTACCCTCTCAGCTGAGAACCTGGTCTCATACTTCACTGAAAAAATGGAGACCATTCTTGAAGGTTTCATCTTTTCCCTTCCTTCTTCCTCCCACATCATTCAAATGCCTTCTGCCCTCTCTCTTTTCTTCATCTCATATGAAAAGGTGGCCCTCCTCCCCACCAAGGCTAACCCTTCTACCTGCACAGTCCATCCCAGGTCATCCTATCTTCCCTATCATGCCCACTCATCACTGACCTTCAATCTCACCATCTCTTGGCTGCTTCCCTACTGCCAATACACATCTCTCCAAGCCTCAGACATCTCTCCCTTAATTCATCTATCCAACTAGCAATTGCCATACATCTCTCCTATACGCCCCCTGCTCTCCTCTGACACTGTCATCACCCTGGAAAAGGCTGCTGGGTGGTCTCCTTTTCTCAAGTCAGAGATCTCCCCAGGCCAGTCTGTCCTTCAGTCAACTGCCAGAATTATCATCCCACTAAAGTTCAGGTGGGACCTAGTCCCACCCTCCACTGAAATCAGCTCTGGGGACTTCCTATTCCCTTCCTTCAAAACTCAGCTCAAATCCTTCCTTCTGCAAGCCTTTCCTTTAAGAACACCCCCACACACACACACCATTCACCGTCTCTGTCTCCACATCTTATCTGGACATCGTTTGCATGTTGCCCCTATTAGAATATGAGCTCCCTGAAGGTAGGAACCTTCTGGGGGTAGGGGGCTGGTCTTTCTTTGCTTCCCCATTACTTAGCCCAGCAGTGCCTGGCACTCAGTGCTTAACAAATGCACTTTGACTTAAGGGGGACACAAGACTGTGTAATTGTCATGGCAAACTGGGAGCAGCTGATGGAGAGCTGTCTGGTCCAAAGCTTTGAGTTGATCATTTGGGTAACAACCCCACCACATGGTGCTCAGAATCTGGGGTGAGACCCTGGGAGCCTCCTAGAAACCTCTACCACATCCCTAATAGCTAGCTGCCCCCCCCCAAATCCTTTGCTGGAATGGTAGCAAGCTTCCAACCAAGCTGCTCCTTGGCCCCCTGCCCAAGGGGCCAAGCAGAGTAACGGGCCAGCCTGAATTAATACCTGAAGGGGGTTACTCATCTGAGCCCAGGCCTCCTCCAGGCCAACACCCCAGCTTCTTTAACCCTCTATGGCATGAACCCTTCCCCTCCATCCTAGCATTACCCTCTTATGTGGATGTGCTCCAACTTGCCAAGGCTTAGAACTGACCAGGGCAGAGGTCTCAAAGGCGCCTTCCCATCACCTCCTGTTTTCTCCCCTCCTGGAACAAGCCTAATCAGAACTAATTAAACGCAATGTTCTTAGCAGGAACCCCACCCTGCCAGCTCAGCGGCCAAGCACAGGCCCAGATGTGGAGGTTAGATCCCCCTTCAAACCCTAGCCATGCTCTTACTTGTCTGTGGTTACAATTACTCCGATCCTGCTGCCGGACAGAGACGCTCCTGCCTAGTCATCCCCCAGGCCTCCAAAGCTTTCCCCTCCTGGCTTCCCTTAAGACCCAGCTAAACAGTCACCTTCCCCAGGAATCCTTTCCTGGCCCCTCTTAATTCTAGGAGCAAGGATTCCCCCTCCCTCTTGTTTGTAAGAGCATTAAGCCATGAGCCCCTGGAAAGACGGGCCTATCTTTTCCTCCCCTAGAATTTGGTCACAATGCCTGGCACAGTCGGCCCCTAATACAAGCCTATGATTGACCCACCCCTCCTCAGTTTCCTGATCTGAGAGGGTTGGAGACACCTTCCAGATCCTTTCTGGCCTAGCCCAGCTCAGAGGCCCCTAAGAAAGCCAAGCCTCACCTTCACCCTGTGGTCCCTTGCCCCCAATCCTCTGGGACATTTCTGTGGCTAGTAAACCACCAGACACCTTGTGAAATCGCTGAAATCTTTTAATGTTTGACAAAAAAACCTTTGTGCACAAGCTTCAGAGCATATCATGTAAACACCTTTATGGAAGTGATGATCCACTTTGTCAATGGTCAGTTTATTTAAAAAATAAAAATAAAAACCCAGACATTGGTCAAAGTACCGCTGGGGGGGGAGGGAGGAGGGGATGCAAGGACGACAAAAGAGGAGCAGGTCAGTCTCTAGGCAGAGATGCCTGCACAGTCCCGAAGGCCAGTCTCCCAGAGTGCCTGGTGAAATTGTTTAAATAGATCCCAAACTGTTCACTGCCCTTTATCAAAACAGGCCCGCTGGGCATAAAGGCAACCCCCCTCCCCCCTCGAAATCAGTGCTGCCTGGCATTTCTCAAGTCGAAACAATATTACAGTGGTTTCTTCTCCCGGATTTTTTAAAGTGGTATCCTTTAAAAAAAAAAAACCGTAGACGAGGTGATAACACCCTGGGGCGGGAAGGCAGAGGATGGCCCTGGCCACAGCTCTGGCCTTTGTGCAACGGTGGCTCGGCTTGAATCTTGGGGGAAAAAATAATAAAACCCAGACTTGTCTCTCCAATTTACATGAAGCCTTCGGAGAGAACACGTTTCGGGGGGAGGGGGAAGGGGAGAGACAAGCACCAAGTTCACTTCGATGAGCTTCCTCCCCCCACCACTCTAGAAGGGCCGGCCCCAGTACAGCTGCACCACCCACCCGCCCCCCCCCCCGGCCCCTGGCGTCCGGGAGCTCCAGGCCCGGCCACAATTTTCCAGGGCTGTAAATCAGTTCAATCCCGCCATAGGGCACGGGCAGCAGGGCCAGGGGAGGTCCCAAACTACTCAGCTGCTGCTTCCCCGCCCTTTCCCTCCCCTCCCCCTTAAATAAGAGCAGGCCTTTCACAGATCCTACTGCCAAAAAATAAAATTATATTTATCACTATGTAACAGTGCCCACCCCCGCCCCATCCCCCCACCCGCATTTGAGACACACCCCCAAGGAACAGCCAGGCCCAACATCGAGGGGGGCGGGCGGAGAGCTTGGGAAGAAAGGAGGGAGGAACGCCGAGCTCAGCAGCCGGGCGGGGGCGGTGCCCACTCACTCCCGCACCGAGCTCAGGGCAGAGGGCGGCGGGGATGGAGGGAGGCTTGCTTCCTCCGTGATCAGGGCCCGGGCGCCCGTGCACACATACACACGCTCACTCACACTCACGAGCGCACCGCACCCCTGCCCCCACCCCGCCAGTCTCTCCGGGGCGGCGCTAGGTCCCAGAAGCCCTCCCAGCCTCTAGCGGCGGCTGGGCCAGTGCGCCGACAACGAGCCCTCCGGTCGGGCCCCGGCCTTTGTCCGTCCGCGCGTCCGCCGCGGGCTCGGCCGCGCCGTGGGGGCTCAAAGCACCTTGCAGCAATTGACGCAGCCCGTCTGCGAGCCGTAGCGCTTCTGGAGCGCGGCGCGAGTGGCCGTCTCAAAGACCTCGCGCACGCCCTCCTTGGTCTTGGCCGAGCACTCGAGGTAGTCGTAGGCCTGGATGCGCACGGCCATGGCGCGGCCGTCCTCGGTGCGCACCGGCTCCTGCTTCATGCGCGCCAGCTCGTTGCGCACGTGCTCGTCATTGCGGAGGTCCTTCTTGTTGGCCACCAGGATGATGGGCACGTTGGGGCAGAAGTGCTTCACCTCGGGCACCCACTTCTCGGGGATATTCTCCAGCGAGTCCGGGCTGTCCACCGAGAAGCACATGAGGATCACGTCCGTGTCCGGGTAGGAGAGCGGCCGCAGCCGGTCGTAGTCCTCCTGGCCGGCCGTGTCCCAGAGCGCCAGCTCCACCTGCTTGCCGTCCACCTCGATGTCGGCCACGTAGTTCTCGAACACCGTGGGCACGTACACCTCGGGGAACTCGTCCTTGCTGAACACGATCAGCAGGCACGTCTTGCCGCACGCGCCGTCGCCCACCACCACCAACTTCTTGCGGATGGCCGCCATGGCCAGGCCGGCCGGCGGCGGCGGCGGCCGCGGGGACACCTGGGGGGACGGGGGCAGGCCCGGGGCGGCGGCCGAGGACGAGGAGCCCCCGGGCCCCGACGGCGAAGACGCCGCCGCCGCCGCCTGTGCGGAACCGGGCGCGGCTGTTTGGCCGGCCTTCAGAGAGCGCACCGTGGCCACCGGGGGCCTGGGCCGGGCCGGTGCTGCTGCCGCCGGGCGCAGCTGCTGCTGTCCTCTTCCTCTTCCTCCCTCCTCCGCGGACGCCCCCACGCCTTGGGGGCTCCTCTCGGGCCGGCTTGCGGGGTGCGAGTGCTCTCGGGGGGTGTCCCTTCCTTCCGCTTTCTCTCCCTCCCAACCGCCCGCTAGCCAACTCCCTTGTCTGTCCCGGTTACCGCTGCTGCAGCCTGCGCCCCGGCGCCTGCTATTTAAAGGGCTCGGCCACTTTCTTAATATAGCCGGCCAATGGGAAACGGGAGGGCTGAGCTCATCGCTGGGCGGGCACGCTCTGATTGGCCGGCGGCGGCAGCAGGCCGGCAGGCGGGGCCCGGGGGCTGACGGAGGGAAGAGGGAGGGAAGAAGGGAGGGACGGGGCGGGGCTGAAGGAGAGCGAGGGGGAGGAGGAAGGGAAGGAGGCGGTGGCGGTGGCGTGCTGCTGCCGCTGCCGCCGCTGATCCCGAGCTCCAGTCTAGCCAGGACGGACTGCGGGAATAGGAAGCGCATCCCCTCAATCCGCGCAAACACACTCACACACGCACACACGCATGTACACAAGCGACCAGGATTCCTTGCCTACATATGCCAGGCACCTGGCTGGGAGCCCGGGGACGGAAAGACAAAGCGAAACGGCCCCTGCCTTCAAGGAGGTTCCGTTCTATTGGGGGGACTACTGGTGCCTAGAAAAAAGATGCAAAATATACGCAGAGTAATTTCGGGGGGGGGCAGAGGCGTGGGGTTGGGAGGTCAAGATAGATGCCCCATCGGAGGTGGCAGATACAAGCTTTGAAAAAAGCTCGACCATCTACAAGGTGGAGGAAAAGGGGTTTGCCCAGGGATTGCAAGCGGGTCAGTGGCTGGATCTTGGAATGTGGGAAGAGGAATCTTGTGCAAGGAGGTGTGCGGAGCGGAAACGGGGAGGGGGGCGCTGCAAAGGTGGGATGGAGCCAAATTGTGAAGACCTTGAAATGCCCCACGAGGAAGTTTATATTTGCTCCCCAGATACTGAATTGGGCCATGACGTTATCAGAACTGTGCTTTAGACAAATTTCTTTGGCAACTGTATGGAGGCTACACTGTAAGGGATGGCCTGGAGGAGTGAGACCCGAGGTCGGCGGACCGGCTAGGAAGCAGAGGTGAGGAACCGAAAGAGGGTGGTGGCCCCCATGTGAGGAGGGAAGGGGAGAAATGTAGGGAGTGGGGTGGAATCCTCCAACCGCGACAACTGATCAATACAGCTGTGAATGAAAATGAGGATGAGACCCTTCGACGCCCTTCAAATGCCCCCTCCTTCAGATTCCCTTTCCTAACTCCCGCAGAGAATCCCCCGCCCCCACCACATCACCTTGTATGTATTCTGGTATTCTGTTTTCGTTTTTGGAGAAGGTGCAGGGAGACAGCCTAGCTTAGGGACTGGAGAGCGGATCTTGGCGTCTGGAAGACCCAGGTTCAGGTCTGGCTTCGGGCGCATCCTTCACTTCACTCTCCTTGGGGCTTCTCACAGCCGGAAAATTACAGATGTGGTCAAACAAAATCAGCCTTCAGCGTTTTACCTGTGAAAACTTTGTTTCCCTCTAGTAGAAAGTAACAAGTGAAATGCTAACTTTTGTTTTGGTGCCTAGCCCAATGAATGCCTGGCTCCGAAACCCTTCTTTAGTGCTTAGTAATTAACTAATTAAGCCGAAGAAACCCAATCCCGCTTCCCAGGAACAGGGAATTTCAAATACTCCAAGACTGCTAGTTTAGCCCGTCCCAGCCCCTCCACTACCCGCAACCTTCTCTCTAGACTAAGCTCCTTCAGCTGCGCCCCTATGGCCCGGACTCACGACTCTTCCGGGTCTTGGTGGACCTTCTCTGGACACATTCATGGGGCCCTCATCTGAGCCTCCTCCTCTTGGTGGAGTCTGAACAAGTTAGAGGAGGGCCACCTCTCTACCCCCCGACGAGCGTTTCTCAGCGAAGCCCAAGCTGGTATGAGGTTTTTGTTGGCTATGACTCCTGGTTAGGTTTGTGACCCTTTTGGCCACCACTCCCCCACCCATGTGAACACCAGCAGTTATTAAGGCCGGGCTGGCACGGAGCTGGAGAAGGGAAGATAAAAATGTAATAATCCCTGCCCTCAAGGAGTTTCTAGTCTGCAGAGAGAAGGAGGACAACCAAGTTATTGGGGAGAGGGGAGCCTCCCCTGACTTGTACTGGGAAGGTTGATTCTTGGAACCCAAGTGAAACAGGCTCATAAACTGAAAAGGGTCCATTTCACTGGAGCTGGCTAAGTGCTTAGCACACTGGAGGGCATTAGTGGCCTAAGTGGGAAATCCCCCACCTTTGCTCTCAGTTTCCTCATCTGAGAAGTGGCAATATTAATCTTCGTACTGCATCCCTCATGAACTCGATGGCCATTGCCCAACCCCAGGGGTTGGTTCAGTGGCTAATAATGTGCTAAGAACCCCCACTTTGGGTCAATTTATAAACGACTCTGACCTAACTGGAGATGTTTTAATTAGGCACGATGGAGGGCTGCTTCCAGCCTGGGAGGGGCCTTGGAGAGCCCCCTCATTTTATAGAGAAGGAGATACAGTGACACAGGGAGGAAGAAGCAGCGCCCATTTACCCCAGCTGAGACCCCCAGGAATTCTTTGGCCTCTCTAAGAGGTAGGCCCTGAAAACCTCATCCCGTGGAGGCCAAGAGGCCACCTTTTTCCACCTTATACCAAACTCGGCCTGTTTTCTCTTGAGTTCTCCTAGAGATGTTTTCTTATTTGTTTATCTTAACTTGGGAATCTGAGGGCCGGAGGTGTGGGGGGGTAAGGGTAGGAGGGGGACCTTGGGGAGAAAGAGCATTTTAAAAACGCAGAACACAAAACAGTTCTTTTATTTCAAATACAATGAACCAGGAAACGGTAAATTCACTGTTTCCTGAGTTCCAGACACTTCTCATGGGGCTGCTTCCCGTCTCAGTCTCCCCCGCTTCTTTTTTCTCTCCAGTAAACAAGAGCCTGAAAACCCAGAGAAATGAAACCAATGCTGGGGGTTCCTGGCAGAGTCTGAGCCTGAAGGCCTCGGACAAACACTCCTGAGATGACCCCAGTCAGAGAGCAAACACAGACGACTCAGGGGTTCTCTTGGGCAGTTTGCTGAGTCAGGCCAAGGCCCTCCAGGTCTGGGGGGGAGGGGAATGGCTTATTCTCCCCACTTTACAGAGGAGGAAACTGAGGCACAAAGAGAAGACACTTGTTCCCCACGGGTAAGCTCCACAGTGCCAGGCTTTTCTAAGACGTTCCATCTCCCCACCTAATGGGTTGCTCGGGCCTGGAATGCCCTCCCTCCTCCCTTAGAATTCATAATCCCAAGCTTCCTTCCAGGCTCAGCTCCTTTCCAGGTCCCCACCCCTAACCCCCTTAGGATCCCTTTGGCCCTCTTGCTTTTGGGTTCAACTTCGATCTCACTCAAGTGGGACATCAGCTCGAGGCATCTCACTTTTGTTTCAGTCTCCTTATCTCCTACAAACTGGGTGACTAGCATATAATAGGTGGCTAATAAGTGCTTTGTCAAGTGAATTTGACTAATTATATCACCACTGCAGCTGCTGCTGCTGGTGATGTCAATAGAGGCAGGATGTCTTAACTGCTAGAGAGCTGACTGCGAAGCCAGGACCTGGGTTCGAGTTTCATCTCTAACCAATCCTGACTGTGATCCTGGGCAAGTCACATAAACTCTCAGTTCTGCAGGTCAGAGATGTTAAACAGCTTGGCCACCATGGCCCACGACAAGATTGAACCAGATTAAGATGTAATTGGGAAATATTCAGCAGCATAAGTAAAATTCAACAAAACATAGATAACACTAGTTTCAAAGCAAAGTCAATGCTGCCCGCAGAGATCCTCATCTATGGACTGACTGCATCTCGAAGTCTCTAAGACTCTGCATCATAGAGAAGGGACCAACTTGCATTAGTAAGGGGAGTTTCCTCTGCCAGTGAAATCCCAGGTCCAAGCCATCTTGCTCATAATGAGAGCAATGAGGCGGCAGCCTGATTCAACTTCCAAAAATCATCATTTTGCCCCGATGTGCAAGAGGAGAGCAGTGACCGTGAAGGAATAGACTGGAGAGTGACATGTCCCAAGCCCATGAGAAATGGCCAGATCAAGAACAGAAGTCTAGGTCGCTGCCGTCGAGGGGACCGCGCCCCTGGAGCTTGTCCAGGGCCCGAGCTTCCTCCCAGCATCCTGGGTGGTGGGCAGTGACCCTGCTCCCTCAGACTTGACTCCCAGTGGCCAGGCATCTGGTGACCACACAGGCGCACGGAGGCAAGGGCAGAGAGAAACCTTTGCACCATTTGAACAGGGTATGGAAGCATGAGCGTGGCGTCCCCTAGCCCGCTGGGTCACCACCCTCCAGGGTTCTATGCCCACCAGGGTAGCCTGAAATCCCTGCCCTGCCAGGCTGGACACAGATTCTCTGGGACGCCTACGCCCTCTAGTGGCGGCCTTCATGGTTGGAGTGGAGGGTTGGACGGAATTCTGACCCTGCTGGAGCTGGACAACTTCAGGAGGGAAGGAGAAGGGAAAGAACCGAGTATTTATCAAGCAACGACTGTGTGCCAGGCCCTGAGCTAAGTGCTTTACAAATATGGTCTCACTTGAGCCTTACAACTCCCCTGGGAGGTGGGCGCTGCGAGTCCCATTTTACAGATGAGGAAACAGAGGCCAACTGAGGTTAAGTGACTTGCCCAGGGTCACTAGGGAGTGTCTGAGGCAGGATTTGAACTCTGGTCTTCCGGACTATCCCACAAATTCATCACTACACTGCCCCACGTAGCTGCCTCAGCTATTTCTGTTGTGAAGGGGCCTCCATAACGAAAACCTGCCTTTCATTAGATACAGTCAATGTCAGAGAGATAGCCTGTCATAGTAGGGTGAACATGGCCTGTCTTCAAAGCCCGCTTCTGAGCTGACTGGCTGTAGGGCTGTGGGCAAGTCACGTGCCTTCTCTGAGGGTCATGTGGCTTATCCAAACTGGCTGGACTTAGTAATTAATGCCTGAAATACTTAGCTCTCTGGGCTGTTGATGAGAGTTCAGATGAGATCATGAGAGGAGAGAAAGGAAAGGAGAGGAAGGAGAGAGACAGACAGACAGAGACAGGCAAACAGAAAGAGATAGAGATAGAGGATGGAGAAAGGTGGGGAGAGAGGAGGGGAGAGAAGAGAGACAGAGGGGGAGAAAGAAGGAAGAGAGAGGGGAGGAGAGAGTGATGATGGGGGAGGGTGGGAATGGGAGAGCAGGCTCTGGCCTGGGTCCTGCCAGGGGAGGAGCAGCACTTTGAACAGGTCCCCTTCCTATCTTTGGGAGCTCACAGGTTGTTCAGGGAGAGCACCAGACAACAGCCTTACCTCCTCAGATGCCAAACAGCACCTTGTCAGGCCAGAAACAGAGAGTTCATGGTAGTGTTCTTTTTTGTAAAACAAATAATTTGTGTCAATAACTTTGTTTTTACATCACCTGCCTAAGATATCTCTTATAATGAATAACAAAAAGAGGAGGAAGGGGAAAGGTTGTGTAAAATTCCCAACATATCCAAAGGTCCAGGTCATTTTCAAGGGGAAGAAAATTAGTCAGAAGGCAAAGTGAGGGGAAAGGAGTACCTTCCAAGCCCAGGGAGCCTGGTATGCAAAAGCCCAGAGGTGGGAAAATGCAGTGCAGTTTGTCAGTATCACTGAGTGCATGGGGAATCATCACAAGGGAAAAGTCTCAAAAAGTGAGGGAGGGGCACCTCGTGGAGGAGCTAGAATGCCAGGCAAAAAAGTGGGAGTCACTGAAGCTTTTATAGCAGAGGAATGTCAGTAGATCTGGGGATAGGACAGATTCCTCTGGCAGGAAATAAAGAAGAGTTTATTAAGGACCTACTATGTGCAGGACGTGTTATACAAAGACTGTCTCGTTTGATCTGCACAATAACCCTGCAAGGTAAGTGCTATTGTTATCCCCGCTGAACAGTGGTGAAAACTGAGGCAGAGGTTAAGTGACTTGCCCAGGGTCACAGTCAGTTTCTGAGAATGGATTCAAACTTGGGTCTTCCTGCCTCCAAGAGCAGCACTCTAATTATTTTGCCACTTCAGTGCAAGGATCAGAAGGTGGG